ATTCTGTATTCACTACTGGTAATAAATGATGACACTGCTGCTGTCTCAAATGATGCAACGTTCACCCAACGGAACGAAGTTCATCTCATTCCTCGTCACCATATTGGACACGATCTATATCCACCTTCTGTTGGTCTTCTTCAAGTGTACAGATCTCTCGTTTCTGCCTTGGTCACTAGCCGATCTCATCGCTTAGTTCGCTCTTCAGCACCGTTCCTACAGAAAAATGCTTGACCGGTCCTTCCTCGTCCATCCTTGCCACTGGAGTCTCCCGTTACGAGTGATATGCATGGACTTTGGAACCAATGCTTTCTCGGGTTCATGATAGAGCTCTTCCGCTTCCTCCGTGCCGGCCGTATTTGTGGGAACTCCGCTTTGGATGATCAAAGTTCGAAGTTCTTGTTCAGTTGGAAGCACGGCAAGCCCAGGAGTGAAGACTTCACATATAAGGTGATTTTAGAGGACCAGCTTTTTCTAGCTGTAAGTTAGATTTATCATCCGGTCTTCGCGTACACTCCTTTTCCTAGTCAAATCGAACTATTGCCTCCTGTCCATTAGTTGGTTGAGCGTTATCTCAGTTGTTCTACAGTTGCAAGTGCAAACTTCGAAATAAGTCTGAGTCCATTTGCCCAATGAGGATCTTTCACCTGGGATTTTTAGCTGCATCTGGTCAATCGAACTCTGAACAGCCGCCGTGGAACGAGTCAAGAGACGCGCACTGAGGCCCAAAATCTAAGTTGTCATAGCGCATGAAGTTTCGCAACCCGCTGACAGGGCTGACGGTGATCTGGAGAATTTCAAACATATGGGTCCCCCTAATTCCATCCAGCTTTATACCGGTTTTTTCTCGCCTTTGGTGAACCGACGACTAACCGCAAGGCAGTGGTGCCGTTGAAAGGACGGGCAACTTTGTCTTCACATAAGCTGTCATTAGGACTTTTTCCTGAAAGTCGAATATGTCGAGTTCGAACCCAGCTGCGCCCTGGCGGTCGACGGCCTTTTTGTCGCAGCTAACCAGAAAATGTCCTGGAGATGATTCTCCTATCCGCAACCCGGGAACGCGCCAGGTAGCCAGCAGCTAGGCATATCGTGGGTCACAGCATAAGTAGGTCACCTGAGTAATTTGA